TTTTTTTTTTTTTTTTTTTTTTCCCCCCCTGGCTAGGCTAGCCCAGGTGCTCTGCACCCATGCTCCTTCCCACATTCTTCCCACCAAACTGCAGATACTTGTACCTTGGATCCTTGCCAAGTTCCTGTACATGGCTTCAGGAAGGGGCCAGCCTTCTGATTTGCAGGAACTGAGCCTGATGGGCAGGTGAAGGACCATGATGGGCAACATGTGCTCTATCCAAGAAGGTGCCATGGGGCTTTGGCAGCATGAATAACAAAGCTGGGAGTACATTGATCAGCTCTGGCCTTGCTGTTCTCAGAGTAGCTATTTCTTGGAACACGGAGCATTCCCTACAGTGACCATCACCTGCCTTCCTCCAGCCCCTCTCACCTCCCAGGCTGGCAGGTCAGTTGCTGTGGTCAGGGTAGAAAGCAGCTGCAGAGCTGAGTTCAGCTTGCTGTACTAGCTTCTGAGTCACGCCCTCCCCATCACACCAAGAAACTGAGAGGTCTGGAGGCCTCAGAGGCCAAAAGCAGGGCTGCTGTGGGAGGTACAACCCCAGGGTTTCCATCCCTTCTTCTCCAGCTCAGGCTGAGCTCCTCCTGGTGGTGTAGCTCTGGATAGCCATCTGGAAGTACTCAGTGGTGTTGAGATCAGCTCGGAAGAGGATGATGTAGCCTTTGGGGAGGAAGTAGCCTCCAAAGACTCCAGCAAGGGTGCATAACAGGGAGAGCATATTCATGGCCACCAGGTACTTGCCCTGGTAGATGCTGTAGGTGGTGAAGTAGGAAATGGAGCAGGTGAAATAGATGAGCAGGCTGAAAGTGATGCATTTGGCTTCGCTATAGTTCTTAGGCAGGTCTGTCCCCATGTAGCTGAAGACAAAGCAACAGAGGCTGAGCAGCACATTGTAGAACACTGCGAACATGAGAAGCACAGAGTTCTCTTGGGAGCATTCAAAAAGGATGACTTCTGCAACCCTCTCGTAGTCCTTGTGAGGTACTGAGGGGTTGGTCACAAGCAAAGCCAGGCTCAACATCACTTGGACAGCTGTGCTGGCTCCAATGAACAGGTTGGGCCCATTATGTCTCACCCAAGTCTCATAGAGGGCAGGCCACTTGGCAGCCAGCTTGAAGATGCAGACTATCTGGAAAGAACGGACAGCCATGCAAGAAAGGCAAATGGAGAAACTGATGGAGAAGACTGGCAGGCGCAGCTGGCACGTTAACCAGGTAGGTTTGCCGAAGTGGCAGTAGAGGCTGCTGCTGGCACAGGCCAGAGCACCAAGCATGAGGAAGCACATCTTGCCACCAGCAGATTTGACCACAGGTGTGGTGATGTTCAGTGCAAAGATGATGGCTGTGCTCATCAGGAGCAGCATCAAGAGGGTGATGGCAGTCAGCAGTGCCCAGGAAACAGGCTCAGCCCAGGACAGGAACTCAATATGCCGTTCAAAGCAGGTTTCACTATGCACTGGGGCCCACTGACTTTTCTTACAGGACTGGCATGTGTAGAGGTCTGTAGAGAAAGGAAATCCACAGAAGAACCGATGAATTTCAGAAACCCAGTAAGCCAGTTACAGCCTCCCTTACTAGAACACCTCACATAAAAGGATCTGGTGCTTAGTGAACAGTGTACCTAGACCACCCATCAGTGAGATGCAGCTCCTTCTGGGGAGTAATGCAGCAGCTGTCCCGCAGCACAGAGAAGGTGCTTGGGGTCCTTGGGTGACACGAGAATGCCTTGGGGTCCTCAGTGCCATGGGTTCTGTGTGCACAGCCTCCAGGAGACAGTTCAGGGAACCAGTCAGAAAGGTAACAGACCCTAAAGCCTTGGGACAGTAGCAACAACTCAAGTGACCTGGCTAGTCCTGTGCAAAGACAGCTGAGGCAAGTGAAAGGAAATGCTCTGGTCTTTGCAGCCATCTCTGCAAGAGCCCACCTCAGCCAGGCACAGCTCCTGGGGGACCTAGTTAGGAAATGGGGTTTATAGGCCCTGTGGCTTCCAGCTAGAGTCCTGGCTCTGGCACTGCACTGAGCACTGCAGTGATTCTTTCCTGGGATAGGGAAGGCATTTCAAGGTTTCACCAGTGCAAGAGCCCCAGAACCTGGAATACATCTGCAGTAGCTGCTCTCTAGGTGCGGGGCATTATCTGGGCAGGCACTAGATAATTTTCACTGCTGCCTCCCCATTGCCTGGGCCTTGAACCCTTGGGGAAAGAGCATGCCTGCTTGCTTTTGCTGAGTGTAGAACAAAGGGGCCAAAGATGTTTCTTGCTTTGGGCTTGTTTGTGCAGCTGGCTCACTAGGCAGACTGTCCTGCAGCCAGCATAAGGCCCCCCAGGACAGAAGTATTTCCATACCACTCCTGCTGTCCCAGAGCAACCACCAACTGAACTCTGCATCAGCACTTTGCTGCCATCTGGGGCTGCTCCATTCTCCCTGGAGACACAGACAACTCTGGGCAGGTTCTTCCTCCCATAGGATGTGGAGCAGGCAGCAGCTGCTGAATAAGCCTTCCCTTCCCCAACCTCACCATGAGCAGGAAGGAGAAGAGCGTCTCATCGGCTTAATCTCACCTGTTCATTTGGCTGCATCAAACCACAAGATTTATAGCCCCCCAAGAATGTGCTGGAGCAAAGCTGGGTTTTGCATACCACAGCAGCCCTTCGGAAGGACTATGCAAGTGGGGAAGCCAGAGAACAACCTGTACTTGGCACATTTGCATCTTAAAGCCTGGTTACTGGGACAGCAAGAGGAGGAAGAGGGAATGAGGAAGAGGATTCTGGACAGAGAAGGGCAAAAGCAAAGGTAAGGACTTTGAAGAACACAGGAGCTAGAGTAAGCATGGAAGAGGAGCAGATGAGTAGGAAGCCAGGCACACACCATGCTAGATTGGAGGGGTGGGGGTAGCTGGGGCAGAGTAGGACAAGCTGCTTGGGGCTGTACTGACCACTCCTGTTGAGGAAAGTTCCTGCTGGGCAGGCCTCACAGTCAAAGCAGCAGCGGTGAAGCCCCACTTGTGTCCTCTTCTCTCCTCTTTCACAAGGCTTGGAACATATGGAGGCAGGAACCTAGGTGGGAGCCCAGCAAATGTCAGACCTACAAGGAACTGAATGCCTGCCAGCAGCCTGAACAGGCCCACCTACTGTGGGCAGGAGCCAGTTGCCAGCCTGGGGAATACAGCTGTGACTGGAAGGTGTGAAACTAGTGAACCATAATAGCAGAAGTGGGGCCAAGCCTCTCTTTTGCCACCCACCCCCAACCTCCCAGGGACCTATTCTTCAAAGCCATCTTCCAAGAACTAATTTTGAATGACAAGAAATACTCTTCGGTACCAGTACCCCACCCCCCTCTCCATGCTCTGGGCACCTGATTATCTTCAGTGTGCCATACAATTCTGTCCCAATCGATGCTCAGCCTGTTGGGGTTGCGACTGAAAGATCCAATGGTATCAAAAGACCAGGCTGCACCAGTCCACTTCCACATGATAAGGTCATAGCCAGTTATGGGATCCCCGTTGTCATCAAAGTATACCAAGTTCTTATGCAGGCTGAAATTCACTTGCTTGATTTTTTGCAGGAGCTGTATACAAAGAAGCAGAAAGAAGAGTCCCTTGTTATGGCACAAGATGCCTTCAGGTCAGGGCAAGTCTGGCAGCTAAGAACCACTGATTTTGAATGAGCTTTAGGTAGTGTTGATGATTAAGGATTTGGCTAATCTCTCCCACATTAGTACCCTGGTCACTGGAGCCCCCTTCATCTCTTTTGCATCTTTCCAGGGAAGAGTAGGACCCTTTGGAAAGTACTGCTAGAATTGTTTTGTGGCTAAAACTTGATCTGCACACACATCTTATTGTCAACTGCCTGGCTTGCAGATCTGAGAACCACATGAGTTCATCTCCTCTCCTCTCCTCTGATGCTTCCATAGCCCTGTGTTCCCTCTTTTTTCCAGCCCCTTGTCTGTCTGCATAGCAGTCGTGCCTGTTGGGAGCTAGGCTTCACAGAGGCTTGCCAGAGTGAAGCTTCACACCCCAGTGTGGGCAGGGGGAAGAGGGCCAGTTTAGTTTTGCACTCACCTGCCAAGGGTAGACTTTGTCCTTGCGGCATGCTCCTGAGTTGCAGCCCAGTAGGCTGTGCAGGCCATGAGCCACAGCATACACTGCTGAGTACACACTGTAGGAGGACTTCATAGCCCTAGGGTCAGACGTAGGAGGGAGCAAGTGGCACTGTGTGCATAGCTGATTGCAGCTTGGGCCAGTATCACTGATGTTAAGGTGATTATTGCTCCCAGTATCCCACCACTTAGCCCCCAAATCAGAGGCACATGCAGCTGGCTGGGTTTTTTCACTGGCCTGCATTCCTGCAAACTGGTCATCCTTGACTGACATTCCAATCACTGTACCAACCTGGTAGATGCCAGGGACATCTGAGACCAGTGGGGCTAGCAACCAGTTCTCCGTACCCACCCAGACTTTTCCCGTCACTTTCTCCTGAACTACTACTTCAAAGAAGACCCTGGCACTGCGTCTGTCAGAGAAGATGATTGTGACGTTGACTTTGGTGCCTACAATATCTCTAACCATCTTCTTCAGTTCTGGGGTGCTGGCATTCTTGTTTGCAGGGATGAGTCCTCGGTAGGCAACACAGATGTCACGCTTAGTCATTGCCTTGTACAAGGTCTGTATCCCCTTCCTACCATAGTCAGTGTCACTGCCAACCATGGCAACCCAGTTCCACCTGAAATCCTCCATTAAAAACACCATGGCTTCCACCTGGACCCTGTCGCTGGGGATGGTACGCAGGAATGAGGGGTAGGTATGCTTCAAGCTCAGCATCTCCGTGGAGGCTTCGTAACTAATCTGGTGAAAGGAAGCAGGAAAGAGTTATTGCTTTCACTGAATTGCAACGGTCAGGGCGATAAAAGGGACTGGCACCTCGTGGTGGTACCAAGCAGGGCAAAGTGGGTTGCTGCTGAGCAGAGTCTTGAGGAGGAACCCACTTGAGCAACATTAGCCCTGGTGGGGTAAGAACAGGTATTTGGGCCATGGAAGGGCTGGCTGTGCCACTCAGCACTGTCACCACAGATATTTTCAGAAAGGAACCCTGTCAACAGGATTTGCACAAGCCTGCAGTACTAGGGCTGGGAGTGCAACTGAGCCTTAGTCCCAGCTGTTGCAAAAGAATGTAGGGTTTGCCTGGTCTGCACAGAGCTCCAGTTGTCCAACTGCTTCCTCTCAACTACAGCCACTCCCTGCAGTCATCATTATTAACCAAATAATCACCCCAGGGCTACTGTCCCTCTTTACAATACATCTGGCACTACTCCAGAGGAGCTGTAGTTACCTGTGGCATGAGGAAAATGCTCAGTATAGCTGCAGATGTGAGGGCGAAACCGCTGCTGTGTGGCCCAATCACAGCCAGAGCCCTGGGCTGGTAGTGTGAAAAGTTGCTGATCATCTCCACACGGCACCGCATGCTCTGGGCGAGGACACCCAGTGTTGCATATACGTTGGCAGACTCTGAGCATACATCATAGATCTCGTAGCCCAAAGTGATGTTGGGGAGGAGGCTGCTGGAATTGTTTATCTCTTCAATGGTAAATCGCATGGTTTGGAAAAGTTGGTAGTCGTGGCTGCTCAAAGTGTCAACTCTGCAGAAACATAGACAGCACTGAAGGGGGCATCTGAGAGGGGATTACTTCATGGATCAGCCTGGTGGGAGTCAAATCACTAGAGTGCTTGGGCAGTGCCTTGCACAGTACTGTGGTCAAACTGATGCACTGAGTCCTGGGAGGCAGGGAGACGAGTCTGAACAGGCTTCAGTGCAGGCACTCTGACTGCCATAGGCAGAACATCTCTGTTTCTACACATCTGTATGCTGGCTGCCTGGTTCCTTGTTTGTAAAGTGCACTGACAATGTGATGTAGTAAAAGTTATAAACACAAAGGAAGAAAGTTGGACTAGCAGCACAAACAACCTAGGCCCCTTTTGTACACTGCTCCACAGTGCAAAAGTCAGCTCTTGCCTGTTAATCAGATCCTCACTATCACCCTTGGCATCGTCCGGTGGACAACGTCCCGTGGAGCACATTTGCTACCCTGCTCTTACTGCACAGGGGAAAAACAAACACCATATCCATGGGAGTCCCTCAGCAGAGCATCAGGGAGCTGTCACTTGCAGGGCTTCCCGAGTTGGCCCCCACGTACCACAGCACGTCTGGGACGGCCGCTCTCACCGACGGACAGAGGGACTGTCTTGGCGGGCAGCAGGAGTGCGGGGCAGTGAGCAGATGGGAAGGGGCGGTATGAGCAGGGCAAAGGGAAAACCAAGGCGCAAGTCTGTGCCGGGACCTTAGTGAGCAGTGTCACAGCTGAAAGGCGGCGGCGAGCCGTGCAGCTAGAGACGCCGGCTCCGCACTGCTGGCGGCTTCCCTGAACCCCGCGGCCCCATCGGA